GGGAATGACATGTGGTCTGAAATGGGAAAACATTATCCCCAAGGTAATATTTCTTGCGCATTTTTAGGAGAGTCTAGGCGTTTGGGGCCGGTTTCGGCTTCCGTTGCTTTTTTCAATCTAGAATCCTTAACGCAGGCTATAAACACCGCAAACGTACCGCATCTGTGTCGTCTGGGTTGCAAAAACATAATTAATGCCGGGAATATAAAGGTAGATTTGTTTTCAAACTGACGGCACTTTGAGTTATATACATTTACATGCATACATACAAGTGTAGTCATTATTTTGATAACTGCTATATTATAGAAAAAAGACAGAACCTTTTTAGGGATCCGCCACTTTGCATTCTCTCCATGATTTTTGACCACTTGCCAGCCATCCTATCTCAACACCAAGAAAAAACTTATCTAGTGTACTATACTCGGACTTTTAAAGTTATATCAAGTCAAAGTTCAGTCTACATAATTGTTTCCTAATACAATTCAATTCTTTCTCGTTCGCTTGTGTGGCGGATATTTTCTTCGTAGTAAAGTATTTATATTTCACCTGTTCTTCAAGAGTTAATCAGATTCGACAGTCATTTTTTTACAACTTACCTATATAGTCGATTTATCTCGTTTCAAAATGCAGAATCCAAGAAACTAAAGCAGTTCGATGTTAAGCGAGTTTATATTATTCACTGTATTTTTGACTTTGAATGCGTGATCTCTAATTCAATAAGGCAAGGTGGCTGTCATTCGGGCTGTTTGATCATTTCAACCTAAGTTGGCCTGGATGGAGCCAATTGCTTTTCAATCACGGTTCGATTTATTTTTTGCATTGAAACCGTTTTCAATAATGAACACAGTCGATATCGAATGACGATTGAATATAAGGAAATATCAAAAGAAAAATGACACAGCGTAATTGTTTTTTACATCATTGTTTTAAGATGAAAGCAGAAATCAAACTTGAGAATAACTTACTAAAAATAGAATAAAAAAAAAGAAAAAAAGAACACAACAGGAAACGAAAAAAGATGCAAGAATGAAAAACATTCAGAACATCTAGTTAAAATTTCTATTAATACTTCGCTGTTGTTAATGTGGAGCTTCTAAAATCAGGGTTGCAGTATGGGATGACGGGGGGAATTTCGCGATGATATTTGTATCGGTTGGCTGGCCAGCTCTGAAAATGAGATGTAAACATGCCAGTCCTGTTCACGGTACGAAGGGTTGACAGCGCTATCCAAAGGATAAATCCTTATCGAGTGTATAAGTCTATGCTGTTATCCAATAAATTTATCCACTGACTATTTATCCGTTAGATATAGCGCTATCCATGCTTCGTACAACCGGGCCCAGATTAAAAAACAAATGATAACGAAAGAAACGAAGAAAGAAAGAATGAATGAAATGCAAGAAAGAAATACGAACGTAAGAAAGAAGGAAATACATCTGGTGATTTGTAATTAATACTTGTGAATAGCTTGTTTACTTTAGCTCTTTGATTGCTCACACCACACCACGACTCGACTCAAACCAAGTCAAGTTTACATCAATTTTAACAATAATTTGCGTTTAATTTTCAAGTATCTAATTCTTTATCATGATTGGTCAATGATTGGCTGCAAAACCAAACCCCAATACTGCTACTTTGACAAAATGTTTTCTTCCATTTTTAGTTTACTACTAGTAAAAATTCCAACGAAGTCTCCGTCTTTTTATTAAGCTTCTTCACTTACGAACGTTGATCATGGAAATACATATTAAGCGTTGGTTCATATTCAAATCCCTTTTAAACAGAAGAGTTATCTCATTGCTTAACACAACGTGAAACCGGATGAATGTTCAAATTGGTACAATAACCAGATTTGCACCTGAATAAATGAATGCATTTTATTTATTACAAGATGGTGGTAACAGTAATTAAAAAATTTAAATATTTTACAAAATTATACTGATAACCCTGTGGCCCTGAGCTACGTTAATGAAATTTTAGCTCGTTTGCGAAGATTTTTCTTTTCTGCGGTAAATAAGCAATAAGCCAGGTGCATAAAGCAATTATTGGACTAACCTCATGATTTGTAGTGAGCAATTTCGTTTTCTTGCGTTTAAAAACAATAATATAATTTTCGCCTTTTTTTCCCGTTTTAAGGTGACTCGACCCAATATTTTTGCATGAGCAATTACCAACTTTGAATCTCCCATACCTTAAGAGATTGATTCCGATTTCATAGCCACTAGGACACATATGTTAAATATAGACTAAACTACGATTTAACATTAATATTAATCATTAATTTAATTTAACATCGTATTCCTTTGCACTATGCATGAATTGACCGCGGAAAAAAAAAAAAAAAAAARAAAAAAAAAAAAAAAAAATGAATTGACTGCGCTTGGCTGCCCTCCAAAATCTTCTCGAAGTATGGGTAAGAGCGTGATTACACTGGGCAATTATCTCTGTTGTTTCGCACCGAATCGTCGAAAACATTAGACGTGTTGAAGACTACCGGTTTAATAGCGCTACTAGTACAGGCAGTGTAGGTGTAGGTGTTTGCGTATATCATTAACATGATATACTAGTCGAGCAGGGGATCCAACACAGCACAAAACCACACTGAGACCATTGCAAAAATCGACTTGGTATAATATGGATGTCTTCTTTACTGAGAGAAGAGATGTTGGAGGGCACGTTAGTGGGACGGCAGTGTAGGTGGAAAGCAGGCTAACAACTTGTGGTATGTTTGCGTATATTATTAACATGATATATAGTCGAGCAGGGGATCCAACACAGCACAAAACCACACTGAGACCATTGCAAGGATCGACTTAGTATAACATGGGTGTCTTCTTTACTGAGAGAAGTTGTGTTGATGAAACTCTTGTTTTATTTTCTTGGACGACTTGATACACCATATAGTAGCATTTTACTGTTATTGTCAGGTATAATGACGAACACAAACTGAAGAGGAAGGGGTAGGGGGGAGGGGGAGAAGGAATGTGTTATAAAAAGTTTTTATGGTAGCAGCCTCCTTCGAAAAATGATGCCTAAAGGCTGGTTTTCACTAGTGACATAAGCGACGGAAGAATAAGCATGAGCATAAGCATAAGATCGTTATATTCTAGTGAATGTGACGGAAGCATAAGAAGAACATTAGGAAGCGATTTTTTATGTAAGAATCCAATATGTGCAGGGGACTGAGCACGATAATGTGATTGGCTTACCACCTTGTACTTCTGTATGTTAGCGAAGGAAGCATAAGAATCTGGATTTCACTAGCGACGTAAGGACGGAAGCAGAAGCATAAAAGAAAAAGGAAACCTTCCGTTCCTTCTGCTTATGCTGTCGTTGAGGTTCTGCTTCTGCTTACGTCTCCGTTGTTTGATTTTCACAGGAACATAAGACGTCTTACGCTTCTGCTTCCGCTTCTGCCGCTAGTGAAAACCAGGCTTAAGTGTCATGTCCTAGAGTTACATTTCTTTGTTTTATTAATTGATTAATATGCTTACAAAAAATATACGATCAGGGGGTGGGTGGAGGTGAGACGATTCTTACATTTTCTACAATAAAATCTTTGAGAGGAATAAATAAGTAGAAGGGAGGTGTGGGGGTGTATGTGGGGGGG